CTTTATAGTACCTTAGCTAGTTTCCCTTAAAGGTCTACTATATTCCTAGAACTATAAATATCCTAGCTAGTATACTATCTTAACTACTATTTATAATACCTAGGAAATATAAACCTAAGGAATTAGACTACGTTTAAGAAGATAAAGCGCTAGTTAAATATATATATATAGTTATAGAGTCCTTTATTTAACCTAACCTATACTAAAAGATCTAAGAAGTATATATAAAAGAACCTAGGTAGGCCGGTATACTAAAGTAGCTTAGAAATAATAAGTCCTAGGTCGGTCTCTTATTTATTTAGCGGAATAAGTTACTTTACTTAGTTAAGTCTAAAGGTCGTTATTAGCTTTATATCCTTACTATCTATACTAAGGAAATTATTACTAATAACTATATATATAAATTTTACCTTAGATAGTTATTATAACTACGGTTTAGTAAACCGCGGGGACTAGTATATATTATAAGGATATATAACGTAGGGAGCAAGGAATATTAAATAGACCGACGGGCTAATTAAGTTTAGAGCGATAGGTTACTCTAGCGCTCTAACGCTCTATAGCTAGATCGTAGGATCGCTCTAGCGCCCTAGCGCTCCTAGGCGACGGGATTACTAAGTACTCTTAGCGATCTAGGGAAGCTCTTAAGATATATAAGGAAGGAACGGAATACTCCTTTAGATAGATAGCTCGATAGCTTTTAATATAGATCTTTATTACGATTCTATCTTTAATTTTAATTACTTAGTTATAGTCTATAGTCTATAACCTCTAAATTATTACTAATATAATATATATATTATTACTTAGACCACGCCCTATTATATCTACTAATATAAACCCCTTAATAGGTTTATCCCTTAGGAATAATACCGGTCGTTATACGTTAAAAGCTCTTATTTAGTATAATACTACGTTACTTTAAGTAATATCGTAACTATTAATATACCTATATAGTAAACTAAATTAACTAACTCTAGAGCTACTATATCGCCTTAGGATATAATGCGCGAGATTATTACCCTTCGATATAAGGTATAGTTACTTAGGAATAAAGGAGGTAATAAATAAGTTAGGGACCTTAGAAAAGCAGTTAAACTAAAATAGCTAGGACTATTTAACGGTACTTATAGCACGCTTCGAGACTTTCTTACCTAACTTAAGGCCTACTACCGGTTTTACCCTACTAAACTCTTAGACCTAGTCGAAAAGGTACTCTACGTAGGAAATTATTTATCTAGAACGGTACTTACTTAGTTTAGACCTATTATAAGGGACTTTCTCGATAACTAATTAGCGCGACGAGATAATAAGATAGATAAAGTCTTTACTAGTTTCTAAGGATTCGAAGAAGCTATTATAAAGGTATTTAGAATAACTAACGAGGAATAAGAAGCTAAATAAAAACTTTAAGAACTCCGATAAAGGATCTTAGTATCGGATTATACTACGAAGTTCCGTTAAGTTACCTTAAAGCTTAATTAGGACGACGAACCTCTTATATTACGATTCTACGATAGGCTTAAAAAAGAAGTTAAGGACGAGCTCTATGAGGAAAATCGACCTAATAACCTCTTAGACTATATTACTATAGTAGTACGAATTAACGATAAATAGTACGCGCGGATTAAATATATATAAAGGCTATAAGCTATATTCGACTAAGGAAGAATCGATATAGAAATACTATACGAAAAATAGAAAGACGCTAAATAAAAACTTAACCTTTAGTATAAAAACGAATAGAATTATAAAGTATAGTATATAATTAACTACGAAGTAGTATAATATAAATAATATAGCGTTAAGAAATAAGAAATCTTCGATTAGCTATAAGAAATTAGTCTCTTAAGCCCTAATATAATACTATACGACGAAAATATAAAGAAATAATATTAATAATAAATCGAAGAAGAATACCTAAATAAAATAAATAAGGACTAGGTAAAAAACGAGGTATACTATCTATAAAAGGGCTATAAACTAGCATAATATAATAAAATCTAAGGACCTTATATATAGTAACGGTAAGCTATAGCGACTAAATAGTATTAAATATCTAAATCGCGGGATATTATATATATATACTTTTAAACTATAGCGCGATAGGTAATTACGTTTTACCTAAAGTCGTTAATCGTTACTAACTTATATAAAGATATAAGAAAGATCTATATAAACTTATAAATATTAAAGGAGAGGCCTTTAACTATAATAACGGAATTATTAATATAGAGATTAATTACCTCGATATTAATATCTAAGGCTACGACGAATAAGTTAACTTTAATATTATAGATATTAAAGAATACGACCTTATATTAAGGCTTCTATAGCTATAGGAGAGTAACCTACTAATTAACTAGAAAACTAGCTAGCTATTTTAAGATAAAGATATAAGTTTCTAGGACTAGTAGATTTAAAAGAAAGTAAAATTTTATAATAATTTAGCTAATAAATAGGATAAAAGGGATAACTATTTAAGTAAATTATTATAGGCTTTAGCGATATAAATAAAAATAGTAACCGAACTAACGGATATAATAAAATCGACTAATAAGACCTATATACTAACTAATACGGCTATATAACCTAGTATCTAATATAAATAGAATAAAGGATATAATATAAAGATCTAAAGAGTTATTACTACTTTAAGGAAAGACTTTAAATAAATTAATAAAGAGCTTAAGTTAAGAGAAACTAGCTTTTAAAAGAAAGAATAAAGCCTATAAGATAAAATAAAGAATATCCTATAAAAATACCGGAAATATAATAAACTCTTTAAGGAAGAACTTAAGATAGGGTTACCTAAATATAGCTAATAGGACTACGAAATTTATCTTAAGGATAAAATAATGCCGACGTTCTATAAAATCTATAACTTAAACGAAAAGCAACTATAAACGCTATATAACTACCTCGACGAGAATCTACGAAAAGGATATATATAAATATTAATATCTAAAGTAGGCTATCTAGTTATATTTATTTTAAAGAAAAACAGTAAGCTATAATTAGTTATCGACTATAGACGCTTAAATAATATTATAATAAAAGACTAAATACTATTACCGCTTATATTAGAACTATAAGATCGACTATATAGTAAAAAATAGTTTATAGCCCTTAACCTTAAAGGCGCCTATAACTTAATACGTATAAAAAAGGGATATAAATAGATAATAGCCTTTAAAACGAAATTCGGACTATTCGAATATCTAGTAATACTATTTAGACTTATAAATATACTAGCTACCTTTTAATAGATAATTAATAATATCCTATATAAATACTTAGATATCTTATAGTAGTATACCTAGATAATATCTTAATCTTCTTAGATACCTTAAAAGAATATAAGGAATACGTCTATAAGGTACTCCGCGTATTTTAGAATACGAAGTTATTAGTTAAACTAAAGAAAAGTAAGTTCTATATATAGGAAGTAAACTTCCTTAAATATACGATCTTACTAAGAGAGATATAAATATAATAAGATAAAATTAACTTAGTTAAAGAATAGCTAACGCTAAAGAACGTTAAGAACGTATAAAGTTTCCTAGGATTTATAAATTACTACTAATAATTTATTAAAGATTTCGGAAAGATTATAGTACTACTATATAACTTAATAAAGAAGGAAAAAGAATTTATATAAGACGATAAAGCTAATAAAGCTTTTAAATATATTAAGACTATAATTACGTAAGAACTAGTCTTAACTACCTTCGATCTAAAACGATAAATCGAACTCGAAACCGATATATTAGACTTTACTTTAAGAGTATAAATTAAATAGAAGGACGATAAAGGGAGACTACGACTAATTATATTTTACTTAAAAAGGCTATATAGCATAGAACTTAATTACCCTATCTACGATAAAGAATTCCTCGTAATTATTTAAGCTTTTAAGGAATTTCGATACTACCTTCTTAGAAGTAAGTATAAAGTTAAGGTCTATATAGATTATAAAAATATCTTATACTTTATAACTATATAATAGTTAAACGGATAATAGATCTAATAAGCTAAATATTTATTAGAATTCGACTACGAAATAATCTATAGAAAAGGAATAGAAAACGGTCGAGCTAATACCCTTAGTCGACGAAGTAACTATAATATAGGAGCACCTATAATAAAAAGATAGCTCTTAGAAATTAACGAAAACGGGAACTACTAGCAACGATAGCTAAATATAATATTTAAAGTATAACCTAACGACTTAATATACTAAAAGATCCTAAAATAGATAAAAGAATATAAATATTATAGAGTAGGTAGAGGCGTACGCGTAGGTGCCGTCCGTAGGATAATATTAATAAGCTATATAGAGCTCTCCTATACGCGGCTAGCCCGTATATATATATACGGGATCCGGCCCTCCGTATATAACTATACGGCTTAGGCCGTAGCCTAAGCCTATAACCTATAATAGTTAAAGACTCTTATATAATGCCCTCCCTCGAGCGCGGCGCGGCGTTGCCCTATTAACGGCTTCCGTACTATAGGGCCTATACCGCTAGCTCTACCCTACCCTTTTCCGTTAATCGTACTAGCCCTACTAGCCCTATTATCCCCGCGCCTATTAGCCTAGGTAGCCGGAACCGGGCTCTATACTTATCGGCCGGCTAGCCGTTTAAATAGGGGCGTAACCTATTATATACGCCCCTAGGTAGCCGGCGGCCGGCCTAGACCTACGTAAGCCTTAGGTTGCCCGTCCCCTCGGCCTTAGGTAGCCTCCTCTACCTAGGGGTATATAAGGCGGCATCCCCCCCTTCCTCCTTCCTTTCCTTCTCCTCCTTCTTTAACCGTAGTAGTAGTAGTAATAGGTAAGTTCTGCTCTACCTAGGGCGTTAGTTCGTTCCTAGCTATATAGGCCGCCTTATTAACGTATACTTATAGTAATAGCCGTAGTAGTAATAATAGCCCTAATAATAATAACTTCTACTAGTAAGTTCTCCGCCCTATAGAGCGGGAGGCCGTAATCTATAATGCTAACTTCCGCGATAGATATATCTACCTCCCCCTCCCCCGCTTCCTCCTTCTCGGAGCGTGCGGAGTCGTTCGTCGACGCCGTGCTGGGCACGGCCGATAACGGCTCCGCCGCTACCGCTGCTCCTGCCCGCGCCCCCGCGACCGCGCCTACCGCCGCCGCCTCTGCCTCTGCTGCGCTGGCCGCCCTTACGTCGCCCTTCTAGGTAACGACGCCGTCCCCGCCGCCGGCCGTAACGCCCGGCCCCTCTGCCCCCGCCTCCGCTACTACCACCCCCGTAAGTCCGCTACCTAGCGAGCGTGGTGGCTATTTTCCGCTAACTTTTTAAAGCATAAACGCTAAGTGTAGGCCGGAGCCGCCCGCGCGGCCCCCTATATACGGTGCGCGTCGTAGGAGCTCCCCTACGCCGACTAAGTCGGGCGCCGCCGTGGCGGTAGTTATTACTAGTACGCGCGTGCCGGCCGCGCCTATAAGGCGGCGCCTCCTATCCTGCTCGCTGCGGCGTCGGCTTAGAAGGCTAGCGCGCACGGGTAGGCACGGGGGGCTGCTAAGAAGCGCCTTACCGCCGCCGCCGCCGCCTACCGCAATCTCCGCGCCCTCGAGCGCTAGGGCCTCGTCCCTAAGTAAGTTCCTCTTATCTAGCTCTTCTGCTTCCGCTGCTAACTCTCCCGGCACTAGGGATACTACCTCCGTCGCCTTGTCGGCGGTCCCCTTAGCCGTGCCCGCCGCCGCCCCCGCCGCTGCTACTAGCCGGGCCCCCCCCGCCCCCGGAGCCCCCGGAGCCGCCGCTACCGCCGACTAGCTCGCGGGCCTAGAGGGCCGCCTAAGCGCCCTAGAGAGCGCCGCCGCCGCTAATAAGGTAGAGGAGGACGACGAGGATAAGGATAACGATAACGATAAGGACGAGGAGTAGGTCTAAGTAGTCTAGGGGCTCCGCCCTAAAATAAACGCTATTTTTATCTCCGCTTATATAATTACGCTTACGTTATCGTAACTACCTACTCTACTTTACCTACTTTATAGTCCTAGCTTAGGCTACTATCGGTAGTCCGTTAGTCTATTATTCTTATCTACTATTCTAAATAAGGCTTTAAACTTATCGAGGGCTATAGTTCCCGTAAACTTATATATAGGTTCCTACGTAGGGTCGAGATACCCGCGCTACTTAACGAGGACCTCCCGGCGTTTCCCCCTACCGACCTTTTTCTAGCGCGCGGCCTATATCTCTTTAACCTCGAACTTATCCTCTCCCTCTACCTCGATTACGGGCGGTTAAGCATCCGCTACTTCTTATCTAAGCAGCGGGTTAGAAGAGGCTCTACGAAGGAGGTCTACGTTAATCTTATTATAGACCCTTGTTAAGAGACTATCGAGCTCTATAACCTATAGGCTAATAACCCTCCGTACTATAAACTTTACGTATAGCTAGTTAAGCTTCTTCTTTAGTCGTGCTAACCTATAGTTATAGAGGTCTAGCTATACCTTATCTCCTACCGTAAACCTATTTACTAGGGCCTTAGTTTTATTAGCGTGCCGCTCTTAATCTTACGCCGCGGCGGCTATCGCGGATTAGTAATAATCTATAGTCTCTTATAGCTTTCGTACGAACGCGGAGGCGCGGCCCTCCGGTAACGAATTGCTATACTACTCCGCTACTACGTCTATAGTAAAGGGAACTAGTAAGGGTAGTTCGAAGCTATACGTTATAAAGAAAGGGGCTATCTTAATAGAGGTATATAGTCTACTATTTAACGTAAGTTAAGCCGCGGGGAGCTACTAGTCTTAGTCTACTTAGTTATAGGCTACGATAGCCCGTAGGTAAGCCTACGCCTCCTAGTTAACCCTCTTAGGCCCTCCGTCGGTCTATAGGTAATATACCGTACTAAGTAGCTACGTAATCTAAAGTAGCTAGTATAAGTGCTACTAAAAGTAGCTAGTTTAATTTAATCCCCTATCGCTTATAATAGAGGCTAGCTAGCTATATAAGCGGGCCTAGCACTATAGGAAGCGCTCTATATAGGACTCCGTATTTATAGATAGCATCGGCTCTAATACTATAGACTTACTAAGTCGGTCTTTAATTACCTATATATAGCGGTTGCCGCCCTTTATAAGTAGGAGGTCCGTTATAAAGTCTATCTATATATATATATAGAACCGGTCGGGCACCGGAAGCTACTTAAGTAGCCCATTAAGCTACGCCCTTTAGATCTTCGTGCGGCTATAGATATCGTAGTTATAGAGGAAGCGACGAACGTAGTGCTATAAGAGGGGCTAGTAAAAGTCCCTCGCAAGGCCTACTACTATGCCCTATCTGCCTAGGTAACCTACGACGCTAGAGTTATAGATAAGTTAGACCAGCCTCCCTTAGAGCTCGTTCCGTTTATCTAGCTCCGGCGGTCCCTCCTTCTCCTTAGCTTCCGTAGTATATAGTGCGCCTAGTACCTATAGTCTCCCCTGCTAGCGTAGATGCCCCCGTAGGTCGATATAGTAGTCGGCTACCTATACCTTTAGCTTTAGCTTCGGATCTAGGCGTCGAGCGCCGGACTTAACGGCGCGGCGCACGCCCTCGTAGGTGCGGTCTAGAGCCGCCATCCTATCCTATAAGCGTTAAAGGGCCTTATCTTAGAACACTCTCGCCGCGCGCGCCCTTAGGCCGGTTTATCCCTCCTCGCTAGACCGAGGTAAGGGCGCGGGGGGAAGCTTATTCGCTAGCACCGCGTCTTCCTCTATTAAGGAAGCTCCTATATAAGTCTATAGTGCTTCCTATAGGATAAGCTATAGATCCTAGGCCTCGATATCCGCTCCCGTTGGCCGGTCTTAATCCCTCCGGGAAAGCGCGTCTAGGACCGCGGAGTCCCGCTTAGGGCGGTACTTAATCGAGAAGTTAAAGCGTAAGAGATACTCCGCCTAGCGGGCTTACCGCTCTAAGAGGTGCTAGCGAGTTATAAAGTACTCGAGGTTCCTATAGTCTATAAGAACCTCGAAGCTCTTATAGCTCTAGAGCTCCGCTTACTATTGCTCGAGGTAGCTAATAATCGCTAGTATCTCCTTATCGTAAATAGCGTAATTCCGCTCCGCTAAGGTTAGCTTACGGGAGTAGAACGCTACCGGTTACTTCCGCCCGTCTACCTCCTAGGAGAGCGTTCCTCTAAGTGCCTAGCCGCTATAGTCCGCTTTAACTAACGTAGACTAGTCGAAGTCCTACTAGAGCAGTACCGGGGCTTAAGAGAATAGGTCCTTAAGCGTATAGAACGCTCCTTCCTATACGGGCCCTTAGCAAAAGGCGGTCCGCTTCCTAGTAATCTTATTTAGGGGCATTATAATACGGGAGAAGCCCTTAATAAATATCCTATAATAGTTCGCGAACCTAAGGAAGCTCCGTATGCCTATCTATATAGTTAGGGCAGCTTAGTCCCGAATCGCCTAGATCTTTATAGGGTCCGCCTATATACCTACGCCTATATAGATAATAAAGCCTAGGTACTTAACCCTCTTAACCCTAAATTCGTACTTATCTAGGTCGAGGTAGAGCCTATAAAGTTAGAGGCGCTCTAGGACCCTCCGTACTTTCTATATATAGTCTTCGTAGGAGCCGCTTATATAGATAAGGATATTATCTATATATATAGAGGCGAACTTATCGAGGAAGTCCCGAAGTACGTTATTAATATAACGCTAGAAGGTAGCGGGCGCTCTTAAGAGGCCGAAGGGCGTTATAAGCTACTCGAATAAGCCGTAGCGTATATAGAACGCCGTCTTCTACTCGTTACCCTCTAAGATCTATACCTTATAGAACGCCTATTTTATATCTAGCTTCGTAAACTACTTTGCCTTTAAAAGGTTACGGAGCGTATCTAAGATTAAGGGTAAGGGGTAGCGGTCTAGCCTCGTAATTGCGTTTAGGGCCCTATAGTCGCAATAGAACTATATCCCGCCCCTTAGTTTACGTATAAATAGGACCGGCGCTCTTACTTTAAAGCTACTTACTTAAATAAAACCCTTATCTAAGAGGTCCCTTAGCGTCTTCTTTAGTACTAGTAGCTCCGCGTATAATATACTATATAGCGGTCTAAACGGTGCGGGTAGTTCCTACCCCTTCTTATCGGTGCGGAGTACGATCCTATAGTCTACTCCTAGCTTATACGGGTTAAGCTTATCCGCTTCCTAGGACTCGAATAGCGGTAGGAGGTCGTAAAAGCGCTCCGGTATCTATTGCCGTAGCTTAGAGGGCGACTTTAGCTTCTTTATCTAGAGGGCCTTATTAATATCTACTAGGCTAACTACGTAGACCGCTATATTAGCCGCTGCCCGGCCTTGCCCCCGCTCTACCTATCGCACGGTTCCTACGAAGATAGAGGCAAGGACTTCTTATACTAAGTATAAAGCTCGCACGCCTAGTCCTACGCCTACGGAACCGTCGTTATAGCGGACCTACTATTGCGTAGGCCTAAACTATAGCTTCCTTTAGTACGGAACTAAGTATAACTCTATATATAATAACTAGGGTTTCCCGAGGATTAAGGGAAACTCTAGTTAAGGGATTATATTAGCTACGATAAGCTTATAGTAACCGTCGACCTCTATAGCTAGCTATATAATGCCCTTAATTACTATACCCTCTATTGCGCCTAAGGCGCCTTTTACTCGCCTTAAGGCGATCTTTTCTACCGGCACTTATATCTCTTACGTAAGCGCCTCGTTAACTACGGCGTAGTACTAGTAGCCCTTATCTATAAGGGCGGCAACGGGCAAGGAGTTATTAATTATAACCTATATTAAAGTAGGCTCCTCTTCTATATAGGCGGATAATTCTTCCTTCTCCTTTGCTAGTGCTAGTAATTAGGGCTCCGGAGCCTATCTTTGCTCCGGAGCTACTCTTTTTCCTCTAGGCCTAGGGGGGCGGAGTCCTCCTTATCGTCTAAGGCGAGGAGCGGTTCTATCTTCGCTACTCGAACTACTATAGGCCGCTTAGCTAAAAGGAAGGGGTATTTTAATATAAAGTACGTAGATACTCTATAACGTAGGTAGCGGCCGTTAGCCTTCCTCTTCCCGATTTCCTCGCTCGTTACCTACTTCGCCCGCTACTTAGAGTGCGGGGCGGTATAGGGGGTGGTCGACGGCGTCTTCTTACCGCGTCTAGCCCGGTCTATGCGGGTAGCCGATATTAGGGTGTCCCCGTCCGTGTCGATAGCCGGTTATTTA